TCTGTGACGTTTCGGACGTCGTCCTTGCTCTTGCATCTCCTTACACACAAATCCCATATAAAGTACCTCTGTACAAAGTGTGAGTCAGTTGCTATTATATTGATTTATATCCCTATACACATAAACAGTGTTTTGCAGTGACCCTAAATCCGGTCTCTTCAGTTTGATGAAAACTGTTTTTGTCTCAGAAGTTTGTAGAGCTTCCTCTCGACCTACATCACTAGCTGATGTATTAATCTCACACACCGTTGTGAGGTATCTTTACCAACAGTCGAAATCTACACATTTCCCGTGGTCACTGTACCCACAGCCGACATTTATACAATTCCCGTGGTCTCTGTACCCACAGCCGACACCTACACATTTCTCGTGGTCTATGTAACCCACAGCCGACATTTACGCATTTCCCGTGGTTACTGTACCCACAGCCGACACCTACACATTTATCGTGGTCTATGTAACCCACAGTCCACATCTGCACATTTCCCGTGGTCTCTGTAACCAAAATCGACATCATAACGTTTCCCGTAGTCTCTGTACCAACAGTTGACATTTACACATTTCCCGGGTTCTCTATACCCACAGCCGACATCCACACATTTCCCCTGGTGTATGTACCCACAGTCGACATCTACACATTTCCCGCAGTCTCTGTTCCCACAGTCGACATCTACACATTTCCCGTGGTGTCTGTACCCACATTCGATATCTACACATTTCCCGTGGTCTCTGTACCCACAATCGACATCTACACATTTCCCGGGGTCTTTGTACCTACAGCCGACTTTTATACATTTCCCATGGTGTTTGAATCCACATTCGAAATCTACACATTTCCCGTGGTCTCTGTACCCACATCGACATCTACACATTTCCCGGGGTCTTTGTACCTACAGTCAGCATCTACACATTTCCCGGGGTCTTTGTACATACATTCGACTTCTACACATTTCCCGTGGTCTCTGTACTCACAGTCGACAATTACACAATTCCCGTGGTCTCTGTACCCACAGCCGACTTCTATACATTTCCCGTGATGTCTGTAACTACAATCGACATCTACACATTTCCGGTGGTCTCTGTACCGACAGTCGACATCTACACATTTCCCGTGGTCTTTGTACCCACAGCCAATATTAACACAATTCCCATGGTCTCTGTACCCACAGCCGACATTTACACATTTCCCGTGGTCTCTATACCCACAGCCGACATCCACACATTTCCCCTGGTGTATGTACCCACAGTCGACATCTATCAGCATCTACACATTTCCCGGGGTCTTTGTACATACTACACATTTCCCATGGTCTATGTACCCACAGTCGACGTCTACACATTTCCCGTGGTGTCTGTACCCACATTCGATATCTACACATTTCCAGTGGTCTTTGTACCCACAGCCAATATTAACACAATTCCCATGGTCTCTGTACCCACAGCCGACATTTACACATTTCCCGTGGTCACTTTACCCACAGCCGACATCCACACATTTCCCCTGGTGTATGTACCCACAGTCGACGTCTACACATTTCCCGTAGTCTCTGTTCCCACAGTCGACATCTACACATTTCACGTGTTCTATGTACCCACAGTCGACATCCACACAATTCCCGTGGTGTCTGTACCCACATTCGATATCTACACATTTTCCGTGGTCTTTGTACCTACAGTCGACATTTGCACTATTCCCGTGGTCTCTGTACCCACAGCCGACTTCTATACATTTCCCGTGGTGTTTGAATCCACATTCGAAATCTACACATTTCCCGTGGTCTCTGTGCCCACATCGACATCTACACATTTCCCGGGGTCTTTGTACCTACAGTCAGCATCTACACATTTCCCGGGGTCTTTGTACATACAGTCGACTTCTACACATTTCCCGTGGTCTCTGTACTCACAGTCGACATCTACACATTTCCGGTGGTCTCTGTACCCACATTCGACATCTACACATTTCCCGTTGTCTCTGTACCGACAGTCGACATCTACACATTTCCCGTGGTCTTTGTACCAACAGCCGATATTAACACAATTCCCATGGTCTCTGTACCCACAGCCGACATTTACACAATTTTCGTGGTCTCTGTACCGACAGTCGACATCTACACATTTCCCGTGGTCTTTGTACCCAAAATCGACATCTTAACGTTTCCCGTAGTCTCTGTACCCACAGTCGACATCTACACATTTCCCGGGGTCTCTATACCCACAGCCGACATTCACACATTTCCCGTGGTCTATGTACCCACAGTCGACATCTACACATTTCCCGTAGTCTCTGTTCCCACAGTCGACATCTACACATTTCCAGTGGTCTATGTACCCACAGTTGACATCTATCGTTTCCCGTGGTGTCTGTACCCTAATTCGATATCTACACATTTCCCGTGGTCTTTGTACCTACAGTCGACATTTACACAATTCCCGTGGTCTCTGTACCCACAGCCGGCTTCTATACATTTCCCGTGGTGTCTGTACCCACAGTCGACATCTACACATTTCCAGTGGTCTATGTACCCACAGTCGACATCTACAAATTTCCCGTAGTCTCTGTACCCACAGTCGACATCTACACATTTCCAGTGGTCTATGTACCCACAGTCGACATCTACAAATTTCCCGTAGTCTCTGTACCCACAGTCGACATCTACACATTTCCCGTGGTGTCTGTACCCACATTCGATATCTACACATTTCCCGTGGTCTCTTTACCCACAATCGACATCTACACATTTCCCGGGGTCTTTGTACCTACAGCCGACTTCTATACATTTCCCATGGTGTTTGAATCCACATTCGAAATCTACACATTTCCCGTGGTCTCTGTACCCACATCGACATCTACACATTTCCCGGGGTCTTTGTACCTACAGTCAGCATCTACACATTTCCCGGGGTCTTTGTACATACAGTCGACTTCTACACATTTCCCGTACTCACAGTGAACATCTACACATTTCCCGTAGTCTCTGTTCCCACAGTCGACATCTACACATTTCCCGGGGTCTCTATACCCACAGTCGACATCTACACATTTCCCTGGGTCTCTATACCAACAGCCGACATCCACACATTTCCCGTGATCTATGTACCCAGAGCCGACATTCACACATTTCCCGTGATCTATGTACCCACAGTCGACATCTATACATTTCCCGTAGTCTCTGTTCCCACAGTCGACATCTACACATTTTCTGTGGTGTCTGTACCCACAGCCGACATTTACACATTTCTCGTGGTCTATGTATCCCAAAGCCGACATTTACGCATTTCCCGTGGTCACTGTACCCACATTCGACTTCTATACATTTCCCGTGGTGTTTGAATTCACATTCGATATCTACACATTTCCTGTGTTGTCTGTATCCACATTCGATATCTACACATTTCCCGTGGTGTTTGAATCTACATTCGACATCTACACATTTCCCGTGGTCTCTGTACCCACAATCGACATCTACACATTTCCCGGGATCTTTGTACCTACAGTCGGCATCTACACATTTCCCGGGGTCTTTGTACATACAGTCGACTTCTACATATTTCCCGTGGTCTCTGTACTCACAGTCGACAATTACACAATCCCGTGGTCTCTGTACCCACAGCCGACTTCTATACATTTCTCGTGGTGTCTGTACCCACATTCGACATCTACACATTTCCCGGGGTCTCAGTAGCCATAGCCGACATCCACACATTTCCCGTGGTCTTTGAACCAACAGTCCACATCTGCACATTTCCCGTGGACTCTGTACCCAAAACCGACATCTTAACGTTTCCCGGGGTCTCTGTACCCACAGTGAACATCTACACATGTCCCGTGGTCTATGTACCCACAGTGAACATCTACACATTTCCCGTAGTCTCTGTTCCCACAGTCGACATCTACACATTTCCCGGGGTCTCTGTTCCCACAGCCGACATCTACACATTACCCTGGGTCTCTATTCCCACAGCCGACATCCACACATTTCCCGTGGTCTTTGAACCCACAGTCCACATCTGCACATTTCCCGTGGACTCTGTACCCAAAATCGACATCTTAACGTTTCCCGTAGTCTCTGTACCCACATTGAACATCAACACATGTCCCGCGGTCTCTGTACCCACAGTCGACATTTACACATTTCCCGTAGTGTCCGTATCCACAGTCGACATCAACACATTTCCCGTGGTCTCTGTACCCACAATCGACATCTACACATTTCCCGGGGTCTCTGTACCCACAGCCGACATCCACACATTTCCGTGGTCTATGAACGCCCAGTCCACATCTGAACATTTCCCGTGGTCTCTGTACCCAAAATCGACATCTAATCATTTTCCGGGGTATCTGTACCCACAGTCCACATCTGCACATTCCACGTGGTCTCTGTATCCAAAATCGACATCTTAACGTTTCCCGTAGTCTCTGTACCCACAGTCGACATCTACACATTCCCCGGGGTCTCTGTACCCACAGCCGACATTCACACATTTCCCGTGGTCTCTGTACCCAAAGTCGACATCTACACATTTCCCGTAGTCTCCTTTCCCACCGTCGACATCTACATATTTCACGTGGTCTATGTACCCACAGTCGACATCCACACAATTCCCGTGGTGTCTGTACCCACATTCGATATCTACACATTTCCCGTGGTCTTTGTACCTACAGTCGACATTTACACTATTCCCGTGGTCTCTGTACCCACAGCCGACTTCTATACATTTTCCTTGTTGTCTGTATCCACAGTGGACATCTAAACATTTCCCGTGGTCTCTGTACCCACATTCGACATCTACACATTTCCCGTTGTCTCTGTACCCATAATCGACATCTACACATTTTCCGGGGTTTCTGTACCCACAGTCGACATCTACACATTTCCCGGGATCTCTGTTCCCACAGTCGCATCTACATATTTCACGTGGTCTATGTACCCACAGTCGACATCTACACCCGTAGTCTCTGTTCCCACAGTCGACATCTTCATATCCACAGTGGACATCTAAACATTTCCCGTGGTCTCTGTACCCACATCGACATCTACACATTTCCCGGGGTCTCTGTTCCCACAGTCGACATCTCTGTTCCCACAGTCGACATCTTCATATCCACAGTGGACATCTAAACATTTCCCGTGGTCTCTGTACCCACAATCGACATCTACACATTTTCCGGGGTTTCTGTACCCACAGTGAACATCTACACATTTCCCGTAGTCTCTGTTCCCACAGTCGACATCTTCACAATTCCCGTGGTCTATGTTCCCACAGTCGACATCTACACATTTCACGTGGTCTTTGTACCTACAGTCGAATTCTACACATTTCCCGGGGTCCTGGTACCTACAGTCAACATTTACACAATTCCCGTGGTCTCTGTACCCACAATCGACATCTACACATTTCCCGGGATCTTTGTACCTACAGTCGGCATCTACACATTTCACGGGGTCTTTGTACATACAGTCGACTTCTACATATTTCCCGTGGTCTCTGTACTCACAGTCGACAATTACACAATTCCCGTGGTCTCTGTACCAACAGCCGACTTCTATACATTTCTCGTGGTGTCTGTACCCACATTCGACATCTACACATTTCCCGGGGTCTCTGTAGCCATAGCCGACATCCACACATTTCCCGTGGTCTTTGAACCAACAGTCCACATCTGCACATTTCCCGTGGACTCTGTACCCAAAATCGACATCTTAACGTTTCCCGGGGTCTCCGTACCCACAGTGAACATCTACACATGTCCCGTGGTCTATGTACCCACAGTGAACATCTACACATTTCCCGTAGTCTCTGTTCCCACAGTCGACATCTACAAATTTCCCGGGGTCTCTGTTCCCACAGCCGACATCTACACATTACGCTGGGTCTCTATTCCCACAGCCGACATCCACACATTTTCCGTGGTCTTTGAACCCACAGTCCACATCTGCACATTTCCCGTGGACTCTGTACCCAAAATCGACATCTTAACGTTTCCCGTAGTCTCTGTACCCACATTGAACATCAACACATGTCCCGTGGTCTCTGTACCCACAGTCGACATCTACACATTTCCCGTAGTGTCCGTATCCACAGTCGACATCAACACATTTCCCGTGGTCTTTGTACCCACAATCGACATCTACACATTTCCCTGGGTCTCTGTACTCACAGCCGACATTCACACATTTCCGTGGTCTATGAACGCACAGTCCACATCTGCACATTCCCCGTGGTCTCTGTATCCAAAATCGACATCTTAACGTTTCCCGTAGTCTCTGTACCCACAGTCGACATCTACACATTTCCCGTGGTCTATGTACCCACAGCCGACATTCACACATTCTATACCCACAGCCGACATTCACACATTTCCCGTGGTCTCTGTACCCAAAGTCGACATCTACACATTTCCCGTAGTCTCTGTTCCCACAGTCGACATCTACACATTTCACGTGTTCTATGTACCCACAGTCGACATCCACACAATTCCCGTGGTGTCTGTACCCACATTCGATATCTACACATTTTCCGTGGTCTTTGTACCTACAGTCGACATTTGCACTATTCCCGTGGTCTCTGTACCCACAGCCGACTTCTATACATTTCCCGTGTTGTCTGTATCCACAGTGGACATCTAAACATTTTCCGTGGTCTCTGTACCCACATTCGACATCTACACATTTCCCGTGGTCTCTGTACCCACAATCGACATCTACACATTTTCCGGGGTTTCTGTACCCACAGCCGACATCCACACATTTCCCGTGGTCTTTGAATCCACAGTCCACATCTGCACATTTCCCGTGGTCTCAGTAATCAAAATCGACATCTTAACGTTTCCCGGGTTCTCTGTACCCACAGTGAACATCTACACATGTCCCGTCGTCTATGTACCCACAGTGAACATCTACACATTTCCCGTAGTCTCTGTTCCCACAGTCGACATCTACACATTTCCCGGGATCTCTGTTCCCACAGTCGACGTCTACACATTTCCCTGGGTCTCTATACCCACAGCCGACATCCACACATTTCCCGTGATCTATGTACCGACATTCGACATCTACACATTTCCCGTAGTCTCTGTTCCCACAGTCGACATCTTCAGAATTCCCGTGGTCTATGTACCCACAGTAGACATCTACACATTTCCCGTGGTCTTTGTACCTACAGTCGAATTCTACACATTTCCCGGGGTCCTTGTACCTACAGTCAACATTTACAAAATTCCCGTGGTCTCTGTACCCACAGCCGACTTTTATACATTTCCCGTGGTCTCTGTACCCACAATCGACATCTACATATTTCCCGTGGTCTTTGAACCCACAGTCCACATCTGCACATTTCCCGTGGACTCTGTACCCAAAATCGACATCTTAACGTTTCCCGGGGTCTCTGTACCCACAGTGAACATTTACACATATCCCGTGGTCTATATACCCACAGTGAACATCTACACATTACCCGTAGTCTCTGTTCCCACAGTCGACATCTACACATTTCCCGGGGTCTCTGTTCCCACAGCCGACATCTACACATTTCCCTGGGTCTCTATACCCACAGCCGACATCCACACATTTCCCGTGGTCTTTGAAACCACAGTCCACATCTGCACATTTCCCGTGGACTCTGTACCCAAAATCGACATCTTAACGTTTCCCGTAGTCTCTGTACCCACATTGAACATCTACACATGTCCCGTGGTCTCTGTACCCACAGTCGACATCTACACATTTCCCGTGGTGTCCGTATCCACAGTCGACATCAACACATTTCCCGTGGTCTCTGTACCCACAATCAACATCTACACATTTCCCGGGGTCTCTGTACCCACAGCCGACATCCACACATTTCAGTAGTCTATGAACGCACAGTCCACATCTGAACATTTCGCGTGGTCTCTGTACCCACAATGGACATCTACACATTTTCCGGGGTAACTGAACCCACAGTCCACATCTGCACATTCCCCGTGGTCTCTTTACCCAAAATCGACATCTACACATTTCCCGGGGTCTCTGTACCCACAGCCGACATCCACACATTTCAGTAGTCTATGAACGCACAGTCCACATCTGAACATTTCCCGTGGTCTCTGTACCCACAATCGACATCTTACCGTTTCCCGGGGTTTCTGTACCCACAGTGAACATCCGCACATGTCCCGTGGTCTTTGAACCCACAGTCCACATCTGCACATTTCCCATCGGACTCTGTACCCAAAATCGACATCTTACCGTTTCCCGGGGTTTCTGTACCCACAGTGAACATCCGCACATGTCCCGTGGTCTTTGAACCCACAGTCCACATCTTCACATTTCCCGTAGTCTCTGAACCCACAGTCGTCATCTACACATTTCCCGGGTCTCTGTACCCACAGCCGACATTCACACATTTCCCGTGGTCTCTATACCCACAGTCGACATCTACACATTTCCCGTAGTCTTTGTTTCCACAGTCGACATCTACACATTTCACGTGGTCTATGTACCCACAGTCGACATCCACACGATTCCCGTGGTGTCTGTACCCTCATTCGATATCTACACATTTCCCGTGGTCTTTGTACCTACAGTCGACATTTACACTATTTCCGTGGTCTCTGTACCCACAGCCGACTTCTAAACATATCCCGTGTTGTCTGTATCCACAATCGACATCTAAACATTTCCCGTAGTCTCTGTACCCACATTCGACATCTACACATTTCCCGTGGTCTCTGTACCCACAATCGACATCTACACATTTTCCGGGGTCTCTGTACCCACAGCCGACATCCACACATTTCCCGTGGTCTTTGAATCCATAGTCCACATCTGCACATTTCCGTAGTCTATGAACGCACAGTCCACATCTGAACATTTCCAGTGGTCTCTGTACCCAGATTCGACATCCACACATTACTTCTATACATTTCCCGGGGTCCTGGTACCTACAGTCAACATTTACAAAATTCCCGTGGTCTCTGTCCCCACAATGGACATCTACACATTTACCGGGGTCTCTGTTCCAACAGTCGACATCTACGCATTTCCCGGGGTCTCTGTTTCCACAGGCGACATCTACACATTTGCCGTAGTCTATGTTCCCACAGTCGACGTCTAGACAGTTCCCTGGGTCTCTATACCCACAGCCGACATGCACACATTTCCCGTGCTCTATGTACAGGCATGCGACATCTACACATTCCCGTAGTCTCTGCTCCCACAGTCGACATATACACATTTCCCGTATTCTCTGTTCCCACACTCGACATCTACACATTACCCTGGGTCTCTATTCCCACAGTCGACATATACACATTTCCCGGGATCTCTGTTCCCACAGGCGACATCCACACAATTCCCGTGCTGTCTGTCAACATTTACAAAATTCCCGTGGTCTCTGTACTCACAATGGACATCTACCCATTTCCCGGGGTCTCTGCTCCCACAGTCGACATCTTCACATTTTCCGGGGTTTCTGTACCCACAGCCGACATGCACACATTTCCCGTGGACCCTGTACCCAAAATCGACATCTTAACGTTTCCCGGGGTCTCTGTACCCACAGTGAATATCCACACATGTCCCGTGGTCTTTGAACCCACAGTCCACATCTGCACATTTCCCGTAGTCTCTGAACCCACAGTCGACATCTACACATTTCCCGGGGTCTCTGTACCCACAGACGACATTCACACATTTCCCGTGGTCTCTGTGCCCACAGTCGAGATCTACACATTTCCCGGGGTCTCTGTACCCACAGTGAATATCCACACATGTCCCGTGGTCTTTGACCCCACAGTCCACATCCGCACATTTCCCGTAGTCTCTGAACCCACGGTCGACATCTACACATTTCCCGGAGTCTCTGTTCCCACAGTCGACATCTACACATTTCCCGTGGTCTTTGTACCTACAGTCGACATTTACACTATTCCCGTGGTCTCTGTACCAACAGCCGACTTCTAAACATTTCCCGTGTTGTCTGTATCCACAATCGACATCTAAACATTTCCCGTAGTCTCTGTACCCACATTCGACATCTACACATTTCCCGTGGTCTCTGTACCCACAATCGACATCTACACATTTTCCGGGGGTCAACATCTACACATTTCCCGGGGGCTCTGTTCCCAGGTCTTTGAATCAATAGTCCACATCTGCACATTTCCCGTGGTCTCAATAACCAAATTCGACATCTTTACGTTTCTCGGGGTCTCTGTACCCACTGTGAACATCTACACATGTCCCATTGTCTATGTACCCACAGTGAACATCTACACATTTCCCGTAGTCTCTGTCAACATCTACACATTTCCCGGGGGCTCTGTTCCCACAGTCGACACCTACCCAATTTCCGTGGTCTATGTACCCACAGTCAACATCTACACATTTCCCGGGGTCTCTGTACCCACAGCCGACATCCACACATTTCCCGTGATCTATGTACCCAGAGCCGACATCCACACATTTCCCGTGATCTATGTACCCAGTCGACATCTACACATTTCCCGTGGTGGTCTCTGTACCCACTGTGAACATCTACACATTACAGTCGACATCTATACATTTCCCGTGTTGTCTGTATCCACAGACAGTCCACATCTGCTCATTCCCCGTGGTCTCCCTATCCAAAATCGACACCTTAACGTTTCCCGGGGCCTCTGTACCCACAGCCATTTCCCGTGGTCTATGGGTCTCTGTACCCACATTGAACATCTACACATGTCCCATTGTCTATGTACCCACAGCAGACATCCACACATTTCCGTGGTCTATACACATTTCCCGGGATCTCTGTTCCCACAGGCGACATCTACACATTCTCAGGGGTATCTGAACCCACAGTCCAGATCTGCACATTTCCCGTAGTCTTTGAACCCACAGTCCAGATCTGCACATTTCCCATCGGACTCTTTACCCAAAATCGACATCTTATCGTTTCCCGTAGTCTGTGTACCCGCATTGAACATCTACACATGTCCCGTAGTCTCTGTTCCTACAGTCGAGTGGGATCAAAGACCACGGGAAATGTTTAGATGTCTATTGTGGGTACAGAGTCCACAGGAAATGTGTTGATGTCGACTGTGGAAACAGAGACCCCGGGAAATGCGTAGATGTCGACTGGTTAAGATGTCGATTTGGGATAGAGAGTCCACGGGGAATGTGCAGAGGATACGGACACCACGGGAAATGTAGATGTGGACTGTGCGTTCATAGACCTCGGAAATGTGTGGATGTCTGCTGTGGGTATAGAGACCCCGGGAAATGAGTAGATGTCGATTGTGGATACAGACAACACGGGAAATGTATAAAAGTCGGCTGTGGGTACAGAGACCCATAGACCACGGGAATTGTGTGGATGTCGACTGTGGGCACATAGATCACGGGAAATGTGTGAATGTCGGCTGTGGGTACTACGGGAAATGTGCAGATTGTGGATTCAAAGACCACGGGAAATGTGAAGAAGCCGGCTGTGGGTACAGAAACCCCGGAAAATGTGTAGGTGTCGATTGTGGGTACAGAGACCCATAGACCACGGGAAATGGCTGTGGGTACAGAGACCAAGGGAAATGTGTAGAATTCGACTGTAGGTACAAAGACCACGGGAAATATGTGGATGTCGAATGTGGGTACAGACAAATACCACGGGAAATGTGCAGAGGTGGACTGTGGGATTTCCCTGGTCTCAGTAATCAAAATCGACATCTTATCGTTTCCCGTAGTCTCTGAACCCACAGTCCAGATCTGCACATTTCCCATCGGACTCTTTACCCAAAATCGACATCTTAACTTTTCCCGTAGTCTCTGTATCCACAGTCTACAACTACACAGTCCCGTGGTCTATGTATCTACAGTCGACATCTACATGGGTCTCTATACCAACAGCCGACATCCACGTACCCACAGCCGACTTCTACACATTTCCCTGGGTCTCTCTATCCAAAATCTACATCTTAACGTTTCTCGGGGTCTCTGTACACACATTCGACATCTAAACATTTCCCGTGTTGTCTGTATCCACAGTCAACATCTACACATTTCCCACAGTCCACATCTGGTGGTGTCTGTACCCTCATTCGATATCTACACATTTCCCACAGTCCACATCTGCACAATCCCCGTGGTTTCTGTACCCACAGTGAGCATCTAAGCATGTACCGTGGTCTATGTACCCACAGTCAACATCTACACATTTCCCATGGTCTCTGTACCCACCTTTGTACCTACAGTCAACATTTACACAATTCCCGTGATCTCTGTACCTTTCCCGTAGTCTCTGTTCCCACAGGCGACATCTACACATTGTCCGGGGTAAATGAATCCACAGTCCACATCTGCACAATCCCCGTGGTTTCTGTACTCACAGTCGACATCTTCAGAATTCCCGTGGTCTATGGGTCTCTGTACCCACTGTGAACATCTACACATTACAGTCGACATCTATACATTTCCCGTATTCTCTGTTCCCACAGGCGACATCTACACATTGTCCGGGGTAAATGAAACCACAGTCCACATCTGAACATTTCCCGTGGTGTATGTACCCACAGTAGACATCTACGGTCTATGTACCCACAGCAGACATCCACACATTTCTCGTGATCTATGTACCCTTAACGTTTCCCGGGGTCTCTGGACCCACAGCCGACTTTTATACATTTCCCGTGGTGGTCTCTGTACCCAAAATCGCCATCTTAACGTTTCCCGTGGTCTCTATACCCACACAACCGACATCAACACATTACCTGTGGTCTCTGTACCCACCTTTGTACCTACAGTCGAATTCTACACATTTCCCTGGGTCTCTATACCAACAGCCGACATCCACACATTTCCTGTGATCTATGTGCCCACAGTCGACATCATGAACCCACAGTCCACATCTACATTTCCCGTGGTCTATGGGTCTCTGTACCCACTGTGAACATCTACACATGTCCGGTGGTTTGTGTCCGCACAGTCGACATCTTCAGAATTCCCGTGGTCTATGGGTCTCTGTACCCACAGCCTACTTCTATACATTCCCCGTGGTGACTGTATCCACAGTCGACATACAGTCCACATCTGCACATTTCCCGTGGCCTCTGTACCCAAAATCGACATCTTATCGTTTCCCGTAGTCTCTGAACCCACAGTCCAGATCTGCACATTTCCCATGGTCTCTGTACCCACGATGGACATCTACACATTTTCCTGGGTCTCTATACCAACAGCCGACATCCACACATGTCCCGTGGTTTCTGTACCCACAGCCTACTTCTATACATTCCCCGTGGTGACTGTATCCACAGTCGACATCTATACATTTCCCGTATTCTCTGTTCCCACAGTCGACACCTACCCAATTTCCGTGGTCTATGAACGCACAGTCCACATCTGGTGGTGTCTGTACCCTCATTCGATATCTACACATTTCCCATGGTCTCTGTACCCACGTCGTCTATGTACCCACAGTAGACATCTACGGTCTATGTACCCACAGCCGACATCCACACATTTCCGTGGTCTATGAACGCACAGTCCACATCTGAAAATTTCCCGTGGTCTCTGTACCCACAATCGACATCTACACATTTTCCGGGGTAAATGAACCCACAGTCCACATCTGCACATTCCCCGTGGTCTCTCTATCCAAAATCGACATCTTAACGTTTCCCGTAGTCTCTGTATCCACAGTCGACATCTACACAGTTCCCGGGGTCTCTGTACCCACAATCGACATCTACACATTTTCCGGGGTCTCTGTACCCACAGCCGACATCCACACATTTCCCGTGGTCTTTGAATCCACAGTCCACATCTGCACATTTCCCGTGGTCTCAGTAACCAAAATCGACATCTTAACGTTTCTCGGGGTCTCTGTACCCACAGTGAACATCTACACATGTCCCGTGGTCTATGTAACCACAGTGAACATCTACAGATTTCCCGTAGTCTCTGTTCCCACAGTCGACATCTACACATTTCCCGGGGTCTCTGTTCCCACAGTCGACATCTACACATTTCACTGGGTCTCTATACCCACAGCAGACATCCACACATTTCCCGTGATCTATGTACCCAGAGCCGACATCCACACATTTCCTGTGATCTATGTACCCACAGTCGACATCTACACATTTCCCGTAGTCTCTGTTCCCACAGTCGACATCTACACAATTCCCGTGGTCTATGTATCTACAGTCGACATCTACACATTTCCCGTGGTATTTGTACCTACAGTCGAATTCTACACATTTCCCGGGGTCTTTGTACCTACAGTCGACATTTACACAATTCCCCTGGTCTCTGTACCCACAGCCGACTTTTATACATTTCTCGTGGTCTCTGTACCCACATTCGACATCTACATATTTCCCGTGGTCTTTGATCCCACAGTCCACATCTGCACATTTCCCGTGGACTCTGTACCCAAAATCGACATCTTAACGTTTCCCGGGGTCTCTGTACCCACAGTGAACATCTACACATTTCCCGTAGTCTCTGTTCCCACAGTCGACATCTACACATTTCCCTGGGTCTCTATACCCACACAACCGACATCCACACATTTCCCGTGGTCTTTGAACCCACAGTCCACATCTGCACATTTCCCGTGGACTCTGTACCCAAAATCGACATCTTAACGTTTCCCGTAGTCTCGGTACCCGCATTGAACATCTACACATGTCCCGTGGTCTCTGACCCACAGTCGACATCTACACATTTCCTGTGGTGTCCGTATCCACAGTCGACATCAACACATTTCCTGTGGTCTCTGTACCCACAATCGACATCTGAACATTTCCCGTGGTCTCTGTACCCACAATCGACATCTACACATTTTCAGGGGTATCTGAACCCACAGTCCACATCTGCACATTTCCCGTGGTCTCTGTATCCAAAATCGACATCTTAACGTTTCCCGTAGTCTCTGTACCCACAGTCGACATCTACACATTTCCCGGGGTCTCTGTACCCACAGCCGACATTCACACATTTCCCGTGGTCTCTATACCCACAGTCGACATCTACACATTTCCCGTAGTCTTTGTTTCCACAGTCGACATCTACACATTTCACGTGGTCTATGTACCCACAGTCGACATCTACACATTTCCCGTGGTGTCTGTACCCACATTCGATATCTGCACATTTCCCTTGGTCTTTGTACCTACAGTCGACATTTACACTATTCCCGTGGTCTCTGGACCCACAGCCGACTTCTATACATTTCCCGTGTTGTCTGTATCCACAGTAGACATCTACACATTTCCCGTGGTCTCTGTAACCACAATCGACATCTACACATTTTCCGGGGTTTCTGTACCCACAGCCGACATCCACACATTTCCCGTGGTCTTTGAATCCACAGTCCACATCTGCACATTTCCCATGGTCTCAGTAACCAAAATCGACATCTTAACGTTTTCCGGGGTCTCTGTACCTACAATGAACATATACACAATTCCTGTAGTCTCTGTTCCCACAGTCGACATCTACACATTTCCCGGGGTCTCTGTACCCACAGCCGACATTAACACAATTCCCGTGGTCTCTGTACACACAGCCGACTTCTACACAATTCCCGTGGTCTCTGTACCCACAACCGACATTTACACAATTCCCGCGGTCTCTGTACCCACAGTCGACTTCTATACATTTTCCGTGGTGTCTATATCCACTCATCTACACATTTCCAGTAGTCTCTGTACCCACAATCGACATCTACACATTTCCCGTGGTCTTTGTACCTACAGTCGACATTTACACAATTCCCGTGATCTCTGTACCCACAGCCGACTTCTATACATTACCCCTGGTGTCTGTATCCACAGTCGACATCTACACATTTCCCGAGGTCTCTGTACCCACAGCCGACATTTACACAATTCCCGTGGTCTCTGTACCCACAGCCGACTTCTACACATTTCCCGTGGTCTCTGTACCCACAGCCGACATTTACACAATTCCCGTGGTCTCTGTACCCACAGCCTACTTCTATACATTTCCCGTGGTGTCTGTATCCACAGTCGACATCTACACATTTCCCGTGGTCTCTGTACCAACAATCTACATCTACACATTTCTCGGGGTCTCTGTACACACAGTCGACATCCACACATTTCCCGTGGTCTATGAACCCACAGTCCACATCTGCACGTTTCCCGTGGTCTCTGTACCCGACATCGACATCTTAACGTTTTCCGTAGTTTCTGTACCCACAGTGAAATTCCACACATGTCCCGTGGTCTATGTACCCACAGTCGGCATCTACACATTTCACGTGGTCTCTGTACCCACAGTCGACATCTACTCATTTCCTGGGGTCTCTGTACCCACACCGATATACACACATTTACCGTGGTCTATGTACCCACAGTCGACATCTACACATTTCTCGAAGTCACTGTTCCCACAGTCGACATCTACACATTTCCCGTGGTGTCAGTTCCCACAGTCGACATCTACACATTTGTCGTGGTCTCTGTACCCAAAATCGACATCTTAGCGTTTCCCGTAGTCTCTGTACCCTGTACCCACAGCCGACATCCACACATTTCCCGTGGTCTATGTACCCACAGTCGACATCTACACATTTCCCGTGGTCTATGTACCCACAGTCGACATCCACACATTTCTCGTAGTCACTGTTCCCACAGTCGACATCTACACATTTCTCGTGGTCTCTGTACCCAAAATCGACATCTTAACGTTTCCCGTAGTCTCTGTACCCATAGTGAACATCTACACATATCCCGTAGTCTATGTACCCACTGTCGACATCTACACATTTCCCGTAGTCTCTGTACCCGCATTCGACATCTACACATTTACCGTAGTCTCTGTTCCTACAGTCGACATCTACAAATTTTCCGGGGTCTCTTTACCCACAGTTGACATCTACACATTTCCCTTGGTCTCTGTACCCACAGTCGACATCTACACATTTCCCGTGGTCTCTGTACCCACAGTCGATATTTACACAATTCCCGTGGTCTCTGTACCCACAGCCGATATTTGCACAATTCCCTGGGTCTCTGTACCCACAGCCGACTTCTATACATTTCCCGCGGTGTTTGTACCCACAGTCGACATCCACACATTTCCCGTGGTGTCTGTGCCCACATATGACATCTACACATTTCCCTTGGTCTCTGTACCCACAATAGACATCTATACATTTCCCGGGGTCTCTGTACCCACAATAGACATCTAAACATTTCCCGTGGTGTCTGTACCCACATATGACATCTACACATTTCCCTTGGTCTCTGTACCCACAATAGACATCTATACATTTCCCGGGGTCTCTGTACCCACAATAGACATCTAAACATTTCCCGTGGTGTCTGTACCCACATATGACATCTACACATTTCCCGTGGTCTCTGTACCCACAATAGACATCTACACATTTCCCGTGGTGTCTGTACCCATATTCGACATCTACACATTTCCCGTGGTCTCTGTACCCACAATAGACAGCTACACATTTCCCGTGGTGTCTGTACCCACATTCGACATCTACACATTTCCCGGGGTCTCTGTACCCACAGCCGACATCCACACATTTCCCGTGGTCTTTGAACCCACAGTCCACATATGCACATTTCCCGAGGTCTCTGTACCAAAAATCGACATCTTAACGTTTCCCGTAGTCTCTGTACCCACAGTGAACATCTACACATGTCCCGTAGTCTCTGTTCCCACAGTCGACATTTACACAATTCCCGTGGTCTCTGTACCCACAGCCTACTTCTATACATTTCCCGTGGTGTCTGTATCCACAGTCGACATCTACTCATTTCCCGGGGTCTCTGTACCCACACCGACATACACACATTTACCGTGGTCTATGTACCCACAGTCGACATCTACACATTTCTCGAAGTCACTGTTCCCACAGTCGACATCTTCACATTTCCCGTGGTGTCAGTTCCCACAGTCGACATCTACACACACAGTCGACATCCACACATTTCCCGTGGTCTTTGAACCCCTACACATTTCCCGTGGTCTCTGTACCCACAGCCTACTTCTATACATTTCCCGTGGTGTCTGTATCCACAGTCGACATCTACACATTTCCCGTGGTCTATGTACCCACAGTCGACATCTACACATTTCTCGTAGTCACTGTTCCCACAGTCGACATCTACACATTTCCCGTGGTCTCTGTACCCAAAATCGACATCTTAACGTTTCCCGTAGTCTCTGTACCCATGATGAACATCTACACATATCCCGTAGTCTATGTACCCACAGTCGACATCTACACATTTCCCGTAGTCTCTGTACCCGCATTCGACATCTACACATTTACCGTAGTCTCTGTTCCCACAGTCGACATCTACAAATTTTCCGGGGTCTCTTTACCCACAGCCGACATCCACACATTTCCCGTGGTCTCTGTACCCACAGTCGACATCTACACTTTTCTCGTAGTCACTGTTCCCACAGTTGACATCTACACATTTCCCGTGGTCTCTGTACCCACAGTCGACATCTACACTTTTCTCGTAGTCACTGTTCCCACAGTCGACATCTACACATTTCCCGTGGTCTCTGTACCCCACAATAGACATCAAAAAATTCCCGTGGTCTCTGTACCCGCAGCCGATATTTACACAATTCCCTGGGTCTCTGTACCCACAGCCGACTTCTATACATTTCCCGTGGTGTTTGTATCCACAGTCGACATCTACACATTTCCCGTGGTGTCTGTACCCACAATAGACATCTACACATTTCCCGTAGTCTCTGTACCCACATTCGACATCTAAACATTTCCCGTGGTGTCTGTACCCACAATAGACATCTAAACATTTCCCGTGGTGTCTGTACCCACATTCGACATCTACACATTTCCCGTGGTCTCTGTACCCACAATAGACATCAAAATCGACATCTTAACGTTTCCCGTAGTCTCTGTACCCACAGTGAACATCTACACATGTCCCGTAGTCTCTGTTCCCACAGTCGACATCTACGCATTTCCCGGGGTCTCTATACCCACAGCCGACATCCACACATTTCCCGTGGTCTTTGAACCCACAGTCCACATCTGCACATTTCCCGAGGTCTCTGTACCAAAAATCGACATCTTAACGTTTCCCGTAGTCTCTGTACCCACAGTGAACATCTACACATGTCCCGTAGTCTCTGTTCCCACAGTCGACATCTACACATTTCCCGGGGTCTCTATACCCACAGCCGACATCCACACATTTTCCGTGATCTATGTACCCACAGTCGAGTTCAAACCCAATTTTCATGTTCTAATCGCCAGTATAGACACGAAAAACAACGTACTATCCCCATTCTAACACACCTTAACAAATATACTACGATAATATGTTTATACACATTGTATTTCACTGTACAAAAAATACGTAGTAAAATATGTTGTGACCCTAACTGGCGACGTGTCATTCTGCAGCGGACTGACCAATCGGAAAGAAGCTTTCAAAAGTCGGTCATTTGGCCCCGCCCATACTGGCGAGAGCTTGATCTGTATGTTGACGAGGCGGAATATTTGGATTGTTCGAGAACGTCCTGTTACAAAAGTTTATACGACATATTTGGATTAATATTGAGTTCTTACATTTCCTTGTCAGTATGCAAACCAATCTGTGCTTATCGACAAAATCGGTGAATATTTGTATAGATTTGTGAAGAGTTTTGTGTAAATGCATACGACACATGTGAAATGTTTCATTCGATTTCGGATCTAAATAGATGCTTTTACACGGACGGAACGAACGTTTCAGTAATAAATGGAGGTAAGAACAAGGAATGTGTACTTTTATACTTTTTAATTCATTCAACAAATGCATTTCATCGGTCGTTTCTGTTCTGTTGCCTACTTGCCTTATAAGCGGGATTTCGCTAAGATGCGATGAGAGGAGCTTAACACGATTGATCATGATTCTATCGCAGATTAGAATATGGTCCATATCCAATACAAACACGCGTTGCAAACGAATCGTGTTAGAATTCCTAATAAAGCTATAACTGACGTTTGTGTGACGGCAGCGTTAAACACATTCTGACACTTTAGCAGTCGTGTGTCCGAGACGTGGCAGACTGTGTTTGTGGACTGTTTCATGTCCTACATACCAGAGCTTTACCTTGTTATGACGTCATACACTGCTCGAGGTTTCCGACAAAAAAACACCACGACCTGTATCGGAAATACCAGCTGAGGTTATAGGGTGTAGAGGAATCAGAGTGTCATGTTAGTAAGTGACGCTGTCTACAGCGCTGGTGTGGCTATTGTGTCCATGAAAATTGACAGTTTCGGGTGACGAGACAGGAAGTCACATCTTGCCTTCATCTCCTAAGACGACAACGCCGTGTTTGTGGCTGTAACGCTAGTTACTTGATGTCAGCCTTCAACAGCTGTTCAGCTGCCTTGATTGAACTTTGCAATGGAAATTACTTCTTAATACATGTATGTACCACGTGTCTCATCACCCAACTGTTACAAATCATGATATTTGATAATGGATAGATACAAAGAATTTCAATCTAATAATAGGACACATTGGAAATCGGAAGTATTTTTTTTTCTTCTTCATTCATATGTCTTTTTGAATTCCCAGTATGTTTTTAGCCTCAAAAATGTATGTTTTCATATTATAATTCATATTTTGTTGTTGATTTCTAATGACATTGAACTTAATCCGGGGCCTCTATGCAGTCTTGATATTGCTCAACTAAATGTTAGGTCATTACGAAATAAAATTGATACTATAGAAGCTGAATTAAATAATAATGATATAATATGTCTAACAGAAACTCATCTTTCTCCTGAAGTATTAGATTCTGATATCACCATAGATTCCTACTCACATGACAGACTAGACCGAAGATCAGGCCCTGGTGGTGGAGTACTAATTTATCACAAGAACACTATTTTTACTAAAAGACGAACAGACTTGGAACATAATGATGTAGAATTAATTTGGGTTGAAGTATGTATTGGGTCTCGTAAATTCTTGTTATGTTGTATTTATAGACCAGAAATGCCTGTAACTTATTGGGAAACACTAGACTTTGTATTTGAGAGAGCTATAAATACTAATCTAAATATAGTCATAACAGGTGATATTAATGTAAACATGATTAACTTACAACCTTATAGTCATCTTGGTAGACTAATGACCAAATATAATCTTGTAAACTATGTTGATGAACCTACACGCATAACTCAAACATCTTCCACCTCATTAGATATCGTTTTCTCAAATAGTTTAAACTTAATTAAAAATGTATCTGTTTCTCCACCCATATGTAGTGACCACTCTCTTATTCAATTCAGTATCTCATTTGATGTCTTTAAACAAAAATCTTATCAGAAAAAAATATTACTCTATCGGGAAGCAGATTATGAAAAAATGAATAGGAACATAAATATGATTGATTGGGTTGCAATCTCTGAAAATCAAGATAGTAATGAATTTAATAATACTCTTTGTAATGCTATTAATCAACAAATATCCGAATGTATTCCTAGTATAAATGTTACAGTAAGGCCTAGAGATAAAAAGTGGATGACAAATGAAATTAGATTTAATATTAGACAAAGAAATAGGGCACATAGAAAAGCAAAGTTAAGTAACTTACCATGTCATTGGGAAAACTACAGACATATCAGGAATGAAGTCATTAGTAAAATAAGAGAGGCCAAGAATAATTATATTGAAAATATGCAAAAATCATTAGCTAATACAAATATTTCTCCAAGTAGCTGGTGGAAAATTGCAAAAACTGTTTTAAATGCAAATAATAGAAGTAACTGTATTCCCCCTCTTAAATGTGATGAATGTTTCATTCAACATCCATTTGATAAAGCTGAATATCTTAATAAGTATTTTACCTCTATATCTACCACTTCTGAGAATCTTGAACCTATTCCTGATATTGAATTTAACTGTCCCCACTCTATGGAAAACATAACAATAACACATCAAGATGTCCATGACCAATTGTTTCTCCTAAATAGTAATAAACCAGCTGGACCCGATGGCATGGTACCTAAAATAATAAAACAACTTGAACATTCTATTTCTCTTCCTTTAACATTGCTTTTCAACAAGACACTACAAACAGGAGTTATCCCCCTTAGTTGGAAAACTGCTAATATTAATGCCATTTATAAAGGAAAAGGTTTAACAAATGAAATTTCTAATTATAGACCAATTTCTATTACTTCATGTTTTAGTAAGATTATAGAAAAAATTATATATAAGTACATGTTGAATTATCTTACTACACATGAAATTATTACTATGCATCAATCTGGATTTATGCCTAAGGACTCTACTATAAATCAACTTCTTTCAGTATATCATACTATTGTACAATGTCTTGACCAGTATAAAGAATTAAGATTTGTTTTTTGTGACATAAGCAAGGCGTTCGATAGAGTATGGCATGATGGACTGGTACATAAACTCCAATTATATGGCATCAAAGGGAAATTACTTTGTTGGTTGAGAAATTTTTTAGATGACAGAAAACAAAGAGTGTTAACTGAGGGATATATATCTACATCCAGGCCTGTAAATGCAGGGGTACCACAGGGCTCGGTTCTCGGTCCACTTTTGTTTTTACTTTATATTAATGATATTGTTGACTGTGTTTCTCATGAAATTAAACTGTTTGCTGATGACACTTCTCTATACGCTGTAACAGACGATGATCCAATCGAGTTAGCACAAAACCTAACAGATGATCTCAGTAATATACAACTCTGGGCTAATAAATGGGATATTAAATTTAATCCAAATAAAACAGAATCTGTTATATTCTCTAAAAAACTGAATACTCATCACCCAAATGTATATTTTTATGATGAACCTGTTACTGTCAGCCGAACACATAAACATCTTGGCTTGACATTCAGTGATGATGCTAAGTGGAATGACCACATTTATGATATTTACCAAAAAGCATACAAAAGAATTAATATTTTAAGGATGATGAAACATAAACTAGACAGACAGTCATTAACCACAATGTATACATCATATATTAGACCTATACTAGAATATGCAGATGTTGTTTGGGATAATTGTTCTCAAAATCTAAAAAATCTCTTAGAGTCAGTCCAGCTAGAGGCTGCAAGAATAATTACAGGACTGCGTAGAGGCACCCCCCACAATATCTTGTACAAAGAATTAGGCTGGGTTCCTCTTGAAAGTAGGAGAAAACAACATAAAATGATGCTGATGTACAAGATTATGAATAATGAAACTCCATATTATCTGAAAGAAATCACTGAGTCACATTTTCATGATCCCACACTAGCTAGATATCCCCTTAGATCAGTTAGAATATTTGATCCTCCTCTTTGTCGAACTGTTAACTATTCTAATAGCTTTTTTCCATCCATGTTTAATGAAATAAATAATATCGCTTCAGACCTTCAAAATATTCGTTCCGCCTATCAGTTCAAAAAGTTAATAACACCTATTCCAAATTCAAACACAAGAACAACTGATGTCTTTAAGTTTTTAGGAAATAGGGAAACTAATATTATTCTCTGTCAGTTGAGAAATGAGGCCAGTAACCTAAATAATGACCGTCAGAAAGATTATCTTACTGAGTCCTCTGCATGTTCTTGTGGTTCTAGATTTGAAACAGCATCTCATTACTTCCATGATTGTATCAAATACACTGAAGATCGTATTCTACTTTTTCAGAATATATTCCATGAAACTCACAACCATTTATCATTAGATGTCATGCTAAATGGTTGTGAGAGATGTGATGAAAATGAAAATAAACATATTCTCCTATCTATATCCAATTACATTTTAAGTTCTAGAAGATTCAGGACATTTAACTTCAATTTTGAATGAAATTTTACATTTTATTTATTTACACTTTATTTATTTACATTTTATTTTTTCTCAATGTAATTCTTCTGATTTCCAGAAATGGTACATGAATATTAATATTAATATTTCCTATTTGTCTTCATTGTTTATTTTTAAATATTGTTAGTGAGGGGGGCTGGGGTTCAGAAGACCAGTTATACTATTTTATTAAAAAATATTGGGAAACAACTACATAAATAAGAATATAAAGCTTTACAACATGTTAATTATATATCTAACCTGTGTTTAATATGCATAAATTAAACTATTTGGTGGGATTGAATTTCCAAACTCATCAGTGGATGGCCTTGTGTGATACAATGGACTTTTTGGCCTGTATCTGTTGGGTGCGGTAATTTAATCCCATCAAATGTTTATACATGCAGCTC